GCAGTCCTTTTTTTTAAAAAATTAATTATAGATAGAATTCTTTTAATAATTAAAATCGTTTGTTTAGTAATGTCTATGATTTAAAACTTAATTGTAAGCAACATTTAAGACTTAAAATTAACTAGTTATTTAATCAGAAATGTATATATAATTATAGTTTATATATACTTAAAGCATTTTTGTTTATCATGCGGTATGCGGGTCTTAAATAATATCGAATCAGCTCGATATTGGGTATTTAATAAAGGAGTATAACCAAAGACCTAAAATTCAAAGAATCCGTAATAAAATTGTACAATAAATAGTTTGTTATATTAATAGCTACTCACTTGTGTAAAGAAATTTATACATTTATGACGTTCCTGAAAATGTGTATCATCTTCACTCAATGACACTGGACAGCCAGGACATCTAAATGTCCACCGTGAGGTAACCTTCACTGGTGGTTTTCTAGTTATGTGTGATACTAAGAAATTCATAGCAATATCTTCGCAATTCATATACTCATCGACTTTATCGCGTATGGCCTGAGGTAAATGATATGTATACAAATACATATAGTATTTGTGTATAAAAGCAGCTCCCGTCAACACCATACTCAGTTCACAACTATAATTTGAATTATAATTCCAATGATGATTATCATTTAAGTCCCAGGCATGAAAACGTCCCGGAAAACCAACAACACGATCACGATGTTCACGCCAAACACGAAAACCAAAAAGTATCTCATCATGTCTCAAATGAGCATCATCATCTACGGATAAAACTGCTTCGGTTTCGATAACATCAAAAGGTAAGAAACGATTATTGAGCGAGTTGCGTGGAGCTCGTACCACTGCTACTGGTACGCCTATATCAGGCCATCTTAAATCATCTAGTGGAGGTTTGGGTGAATTCCATACCACTACTACTTTATGTAAATAGGGTAGACCATAGAGGCGTCCCAATGAGTCCATAAGTACCTGTTCTCTTTCATAGGTTAAAATAACAATGGTAAATTGTTCTCGTGGATAGTTGCCACCTAAAGCTTCACTAAATTCTTTGCCAGCACCACCACTCCCCTTGCCAATAGGACGAAAACCCATGTGAGAACCGAGGAATTTGGCCTCGGAAGGTAAGACGGGATCGAAGGGTAATTGAGGATACATATAAAAAGGATCGACCTGAAAATAATAGAAAAATTATACACAAGTTCGACAGTATAACAGTTAATAAACTATAATATATAACAGTTTATAGTTCAGACTATAGAATAGTTTATAGTCTAGACTATAGAACAGTTGATAGTTTAGACTACTGAACAGTTTATAGTCTAGACTATAGAACAGTTTATAGTCTAGACTATAGAACAGTTTATAGTCTAGACTATAGAACAGTTTATAGTCTAGACTATAGAACAGTTTATAGTCTAGACTATAGAACAGTTTATAGTCTAGACTATAGAACAGTTTATAGTCTAGACTATAGAACAATTTATAGTCTAGACTATAGAACATTTTATAGTCTAGACTATAGAACAGTTTATAGTCTAGACTATAGAACAGTTTATAGTCTAGACTATAGAACAGTTTATAGTCTAGACTATAGAACAGTTGATAGGTTAGACTATAGAACAGTTTATAGTCTAGACTATAGAACAGTTTATAGTCTAGACTATAGAACAGTGTGTAGTCTAGACTATAGAACAGTTTATAGTCTAGACTATAGGATAATTTATATACTAGGCTATAGAACAGTTTATAGACTAGACTATAGAACAGTCGAGACTATATAACACTTTACAGTCTAGACTATTGAACTATTTATGGTCTAGTCTAGTCTTTAGAACAATTTATAGAGTAGACTTTAAAACCGTCCACAAATAACTTTTCAACTCACCCAATCATTCCATGCCTCTCTCGATTGCATCCGTAAAATAGTGTAATTTCTTCTAAAAGCTGGACTGGGATATGGCGGTTCTATGGGACCCAAAGACTCCTCCGGTTCTGTATCCATACCCACTGGAGGATCAGATTTCAATGGGATAAAAGTATTATTGAAAACACTTTGAGCTATCACAGGAGGCACCGGACGTGGTGGTATACCCAAACGATCTCTTAAACTAGCTATAACTGTATCGACGGTAGCTTGAACCGAACTCAAATAACGTTCCCATATTAAACGGCCCTGACGGCGCATTAACAGCAGATCACCATCTTGTATGGCACGCAAAAGGAAGTGCAATTCAGTGATGCGAGCCTTAGGCAGTAATAAGGCAATTCTGCGCCAGTCAATAGTTTCACTATAGGGTAAGCGCACCTCATCGGCACCCAATATAACGGGAATGGCGCCAGAACGTAGAGCCTCATAAATGCGTGCCAGCATTAAGGTGGAACTTACTCGCTTTTCCAATGGCGGTAAGATTAAAGCAAATGTTGAATCTTTTAAAATATTCTTACGGGATGAATCGGTACCGCACAAAGCCCAGTCGACTACAGAGTTCTCATCATGTTGTTCGGTGGCAGGAACACATTTAAATTGTAGTAAAAATCTATCTTGTGTAGGTCCCTTAGACATTTCCGTTAAGTGATCCAAAATGAAATCATCCAAAGGATGTGGTATTCTTACGGGTTCATTTAAAGGTCTTAACTCACCCTGGAATGACAGTAAATAGGTACGTCTGGCTGGCACCATGGCAGCACATTCTTGCCATACATCACCGCCTGGAGGACCCAATATGGGTGGCACTATTAAATCATAATTGACACGAAATTGTGTGGCCTCAAAGGAGGATTGTACCACTATAGCTCTCATAGTATTTTGATTGAGTAGAGCATTGGTGGCCTTGGAATTTAAATTTCTGCGAGCCAAGTTCAATAGAACATGATTACGACCATCACCACCCCAATAAGGCAGCCTATACAGTTTATTCATATCAATGGCATCATATTTATCCGACATATTAGAGTTTAATTTATATTTCTCCTCCTCCTCCAAGGCAGCATAACGATTATTTTTCACTAAATCATTTTCAAATAAAGCCTCTCCGATCAGAACCAAATAGATACAAGCCAACTTAGGATCCCTAACAATATGAGCATTATAGCCCAAAGTTTGTTTAATGGTAGTCCTTAGGAAACCATCAATATCATAGCCGGGCTTTAGGATATTATACACATCCGGATCGTAAAGATAAACAGGAAAACCGGATGTTAAACTACATCTAGAATGATCGAAACAATTGTGCATTTCACAGCTGTTCATAGTTTGTGCTGATGTTGGTGGCATTTTGCGTGGCAAAACATTTGGGTAGAGAGTACGTGGTAATGCCAAATCGGGTGTATTACGTTGTACTGCTTCCCGCTGTGCCACTTGAGCTTGTTCTACGCTTATTTTTAATCTTTCTAGTTCGGTTTGTTCACGCATTAGTTCCTGTTTTAGTTCTTCGATTTTCTGGTTATATTGACCGATGTCTGATTGAAGTTTTTGACGTCGCGCCTCTAGCTCACGAAGTTCTATGGAAACAGTGCTCTGTAGTCAAGGGAAAAGAGAAAATTAAACGCTTTATATTCGATACTATGCAACATACAAGAGATGAGAGAACGATCTCTAATTAAGACAATAGATTAGTCCATAGTTGAGACTAAAGAACTGTCCATAATCGAGACTATAGAATTTTTTATAATAAAGACTATAGAGCAGTATTTTATTGAGTCTATAGAACAGCCTATAATCGAAACTATTTATCTGTCTATAGCAGAGAATGTAGATCAATATATATTCGATACTATAGAGCAATATATAGTCGATACTATGGAAGTCTATAGAACAGTTATGGAATAGCCTATATTGAAGACTCCTGATGCAAAATTCAGTTTAAACATTTATTACCTTAATTCTCAACAGTTCTTCTATTCTCATTTTCAAATCACTGGCACGCATGGAGCTAAAATCCTCATAAGCATCCAGTAAAGGTCTGGCTCTGTGCAAATCCAACTGAGGGACATCATTGTCAGGCTAAAATAGCAAAAACAACAAATATTAAAAGCTCCATAAAGAAATAAAACACATTTACATACATTCAATAAACTTCTATGAGCAAACAAAGGCAGGAGTACCAGCAGCAACAATATCAATAGAATAGTTTTATAAATGCGATAATGGCGAAACCATGAATTCATACCGCCGCACACAGCCGCTATAATGGTACCCAAAGAAGCAGTATTACTGGTAGTTGTTGTTGGATTACCGGCTGCCACCGCTGCTGCAGACGATGATGATAATGATAATGAAGATGTATTTGTTTTTATTAGTTGTTCTCTTTCCGAGTCTAATAAATGATAAGTGCTGGCGTTATTGATAGAAGTTGCTGATGACGACGAGGCTGCTAGTTGGGCCGTAGAAGAACTATTGTGGCTACTTGTCACGGAGGTCAGGTCAAATGTTGTCATGTTGTGGCAATTTTTCCTGGGAGGTGTATTAAAGAAAAACCTTTCTCCCCAAAAGGTTTTCAATAACACCGACAATTTGTTGTTGGTTTAATGGTTAAATTTTTATTTGTTAAAAGTAATATTAGCACATTTTTCTTAGTTTAATTAAAGATGAGTTATTTTTTGTGTGTGAACTGATTAAATTTTTCTTAATTTTTCAAATCAAAGTCAAACAGCTGAGAGTAAATTAATTTGACATTTGGTATTGTTGTTGGGACAAAAAACAAAAGTAAATAAAGTAGAATTAATAAGGTGGCCAGATGTGATAATGTATAAATTACATAAAACAAGCGTTATTTCAGCTTTAATTAATTTAATTTCATTAAATAAGTAACTACTCATTATAATATACTAAAATAGAGTTAATCTTTCTATTTTATTTATTTAAAATTAGAAAATTTTTCAATTTTTGAAAAATATTGCAAAAGCAATTTCTTGTTATTTTTCATATGGCATCTCTGTTTATTACTGGCAGCTGTTTTGCTTACAGCTGTTTATTTACAGTTTGAGGGTCATTGTAAACAACAAAACACCAGAATTCCAAAGGTCGGTAATGCAGTTTTCATTAATAATTTCAAAATCTCTTGCAAAAAAGCGCAATTTGTCAAATAAATCGTACAATTTTATGTTTATATTTGTTTAAAATATCTATTTTATGTATTTATAATATCAAACATGATATCGGTGTTAAAAGTAGGATCCAGGAATTACAAAGAATCTTCCCAAGACAAAACTTTAGATGGACAAATAATACGCCTGGGAGAAAAGCATAATATAACGCAACTCCAAAATCTAATCGAGAAGACTACAGCCAAGGAGGTTAGTTTGTTAAATTTTAAAAGTTGATTTAACTCTTTAACTAACATTTGATCTCTTCCTTAGTTATGTTCTTTACTTACCTCTAAATTGGGTCGCAATGATTGCACCTCCTTTTGGAATTATTTGCTGCTGGGCTTTAAACCCTCAAATTATGACTCCAAAGAAAAACGCTTTGCCTGCGTTAAAAGTTTCCTAGATGGCTTGTTAAAAGTTGAGCTAAGCTATAAACAAACTTATGACTTGATTACACGCCTGTGCCAAGATCTAAATACCTTTCCCAGCGATCAATTAATAGAGATCTTAGAACATTGTATTGATGGCTTGCGTACGGGAGATCCGAAATGTGTTGGCTGGAAAGATCTATTGCCGGAAACCTTAAATGTGCTTGCCTCAATGCCGCATTTAAGTGTTAATAGTATAACGATGAGTGGCAAAGAATATCGTGATATGACGGTGAAGAATCTTTGTGCAATGAAATGGCCAAGTGAGGTTATGACACCTATAGCAGATATGTTTAGGTAAGTTAAGGGGTAAAAGGGAAACATTTTGTAAAATTTTAGGAGTTTTTCGAACTTTCGAACTCAAAATATAGTTTTCTAGAGAAAATTTTGTGTGTTTCGAACTCGCAATATCTTTCTTTAGCAACTTTTGAACTCAACAGAACTGAACTAGAACGGAACGGAACTAGAACTAAACTAGAACTGAACTAGTACTGAACTATGTATAACTAATGATTTCTTTATTGTCCTTGCTTTTAGAGAGCTACATTTGACTCCCTCCGAAACTATTATTGTGCTTAACAAATTTACCGGATGTTTGCAGTCATTAGCTCCAGATGCTTTGCCAGCACTGTCATATCAATTATTCTCTATGTGTTCCACAGCACCACAAATTATAATACCCATCTTAGCTTTAGAAAAATATTTTCATCGTTATTATTACAAAAAACTATTCTCCGATATGAGTAGTAATTCCACCGATTTTGATAGTATAGGTAAGAGTTTTGCCAATATCGTTTTATTAATCATCATTAATATATACCTTTATCAAAGATGCCTATTCTGACAAGGAACTAAGAGAAGCGGAGGAAACCATTTTACATCATTTGAATTATTGCACCCAATATAAAATCAATGAAATACAAATGTGTATTGTTATAAGAGTAAGTATTTCTAAGGTTTCCAATCTCTATTGCAAAAGTTATTATATATTTCTTTGCAGAATTTCCTAGCCATGCCCGATGTCCTTTTAACCCCTTTTGTCTTGAGTGCCATTTTGTCTATGACTACAGCTAATCGTGAACCTGATTCTCGTTTATCTTCATCTGTCCTGTTACCCTTTATGCGCAGTGTTATACGTAATAATGAGGAGGAAAGTACTTTGTCTGATTATTCTGTTTGGTGTCGTGATAGTTTACAACGTAAGCGTGTCGATCTAGATCAATTATTTACCGTATTAATTGATCAAAATAAGGATGGTAAGGATACGGTAACACCGGGTTTGGTTAATTTAGTTTTTGTTTTATTAAAAACTAAAAATAGCCCTAAACTAAATGAATTGGCTATTGGTTTCCTTACAAAGTTCATACGTAAACGTTTTGTCTTCGGTCAGGGTATAGTAAAACGTTTAGCGGAATGGATGATTGTGGAACAGGATCAAAATCAATATTCTGGTAAGATGAGAAATATAATTTTTTTAAAGTTTTTCATAATTTTCACAAAAAACAATTGCAGAATGTTTGACTTTGTTAAGTGTGGCTGATACTTTTACCGTTTCTGAATGTATAAAGACTATTAACTATGTAATGGATTATTTCGTATGGGTAAGTTCCGTGTCGAACTTTTTCAAAACTTTTGAATTCTTTTGAATTTCTTTCTATTTTCAGATTCCCGGTGATCAAGCCATGCGTATGATGTCTTTTATTTTACCTATTTTAAAAATATCACCCATTGTGCGTGATGCTTTTATAGAAGTTTTAAGAAAAGCCATGAGCTCCAGGTAAATATTCACACATTTTACTCAATTTTCTTTTTAACTGTTTAAATTTCTTTAAAGTGAAATGAAAACTAGACGCATGGCTGTTTATGGTTTTTGTATGATTTTAAAACAACTAAACAACAGTAACTCCCAGCGCTCCCAATTAAGTGCTTCGGGTATGTGCACCCAACATAGCATTTCTGGTTTTTCCCTAATGTCGCAGGCGACTTTGGGTAATCGTAGTAATCCGCAAAGACATTTTGATATGTTGACTTTGGAAATCATAGGTGTGCTAAGGAATTGTTTTCATCAATCTCTGGATATAAAAATAACTTTATATGAGAGTAAGCCTATTCTGACACTATGTTTTAAATTCTGTTCCAAATTATCAATATCTTTTAAAAACAGATTTACAACGAGCCGTTGAACTTAATCCCAAACTGGTGCCTCATGTTTTACAATTCATCGACTGGCATTTTCGTTCATTTTTTGAAGCTCCGGTAGAAGAGGATGTTGATCAAGTGTTTTCTATTAAATTTGATAAAATTGTTAAGGCTAAAGATTCTTTGGAGAATGAAATTGAAATTCATGATAATTTGGGTAAATTATTACTGTTTGTTAGTCATTGTTTGGTTATATTCGAAAAATTCGAAACTGAATATGATACCAGGGAAATGAAACGTTTAATTAATGTTTCTTTGGAGAAAGTTATTGGAAAGAATGTTAAATTTGAAGATATGGTAAGTTTGAAAAAATAAAAGTCGAACTGAACTAGAACTGAATTAGAATTGAACTAGAACTGAACTAGAACTGAACTAGAAATGAACTAGAACTGCACTAGAACTGAACTAGAACTGAACTAGAACTGAACTAGAACTGAACTAGAACTGAACTAGAACTGAACTAGAACTGAACTAGAACTGAACTAGAACTGAACTAGAACTGAACTAGAACTGAACTAGAACTGAACTAGAACTGAACTAGAACTGAACTAGAACTGAACTACAACTGAACTAGAACTGAACTAGAACTGAACTAGAACTGAACTAGAACTGAACTAGAACTGAACTAGAACTGAACTAGAACTGAACTAGAACTGAACTAGAACTGAACTAGAACTGAACTAGAACTGAACTAGAACTGAACTAGAACTGAACTAGAACTGAACTAGAACTGAACTAGAACTGAACTAGAACTGAACTAGAACTGAACTAGAACTGAACTAGAACTGAACTAGAACTGAACTAGAACTGAACTAGAACTGAACTAGAACTGAACTAGAACTGAACTAGAACTGAAATAGAACTGAACTAGAACTGAAATAGAACTGAACTAGAACTGAACTAGAACTGAACTAGAACTGAACTAGAACTGAACTAGAACTGAACTAGAACTGAACTAGAACTGAACTAGAACTGAACTAGAACTGAACTAGAACTGAACTAGAACTGAACTAGAACTGAACTAGAACTGAAATAGAACTGAACTAGAACTGAACTAGAACTGAACTAGAACTGAACTAGAACTGAACTAGAACTGAACTAGAACTGAACTAGAACTGAACTAGAACTGAACTAGAACTGAACTAGAACTGAACTAGAACTGAACTAGAACTGAACTAGAACTGAAATAGAACTGAAATAGAACTGAACTAGAACTGAACTAGAACTGAACTAGAACTGAACTAGAACTGAACTCGAACTGGACTAGAACTGAATTAGAACTGAACTAGAACTGAACTAGAACTGAACTAGAACTGAACTCGAACTGAACTAGAACTGAATTAGAACTGAACTAGAACTGAAATAGAACTGAACTAGAACTGAACTAGAACTGAACTAGAGCTGAACTAGAACTGAACTAGAACTGAACTAGAACTGAACTAGAACTAGAACTGAACTAGAACTGAACTAGAACTGAACTAGAACTGAACTAGAACTGAACTAGAACTGAACTAGAACTGAACTAGAACTGAACTAGAACTGAATTAGAACTGAATTAGAACTGAACTAGAACTGAAATAGAACTGAACTAGAACTGAACTAGAACTAAACTAGAACTGAACTAGAACTGAACTAGAACTAAACTAGAACTAAACTAGAACTGAACTAGAACTGAACTAGAACTGAACTAGAACTGAACTAGAACTGAACTAGAACTGAACTAGAACTAGAACTGAACTAGAACTGAAATAGAACTGAACTAGAACTGAACTAGAACTAAACTAGAACTGAACTACAACTGGGCTAGAACTCAACTAGAGCTGAACTAGAACTGAACTAGAGCTGAACTAGAACTGAACTAGAACTGAACTACAACTGGACTAGAACTCAACTAGAACTCAAATAGTAAAACTGAACGATATCTCATTATTTTCTTGTGAAAATGTAATTTGATTACGATTTTGGTTGAATATTTTCCAGACTGGTTCCCTAACCCACCTTAAAAACGAATTAATATTACAACAACTTAACTTCATTGAGGGTCTAATGTCATATTGCGTTTTAACCTCGAAACAAAGCAATGAACATATAAAACAACTATTGCCGCTCTTCAAAGAACATGAACATCTTTCAGAAGGTTTAAAGGTAAATTTTCGATTTTGATAAATTTAGATTTTAATAAAGAAACTCCTTATTTTAGACCTTATCGAGTAAGAAAACACAAAAGAAATCTAAAACTAACACAGAAGGTGAAAACACAACCATAAATATTACTGTCAATGGAGTACCAGTGAAAAAGATACACTCACAACCGGAAAACATATGGGATTTATTTGTTATCGAGAGATTAATGCGTTTGCTGCATGAGTAAGAGTATTTTGTAAGGATCAGTATGGGAGAATCGTTAATTTCTTATTACTTTTTAGAGATATAGTGCCTTTTGCCTCACGCAATAGTACCGCACCCTTACGTTCGAAAGTTTCCTTGGTGCGCTATGTTTTGGAAGTGGCAGCAGCTAAAGTGGAACAGATACGTTTAGAACCGGCCTATAAGCAGTTGGCGCATAGTAAGAGGACTTTAAAATATCTAACCGATATCTGTAAAGTGGTGTATGAACGTTGCATCAAACGTTTGCCTTCTTTGTGGCGAGATTTCGATTTAAAAACTGCCTCTTTGGCGATGGAATGCTTTCGCCAATGTTTACAAACTGCCAATGAAACATATAAATCAAAATTTTCTACCATATTTGTTAAGGGTTTCGATTTTTATATGATCGATAAGAGTAAGGAATGCATACAGATTTTACACGATCTTATGGATGAGTTTATGCAGGAGGAATTTTCCGAGGAGACAAGCGCTAATGAATCCATGTTAAATGATAGTGCGGGACGCAAGATACCTTATAATTTGTTACTTAGTTTGGAGATTTTATATGATAATATAACATTTGGCAATCGTTTGACCACCGAATCCTATACATGGCTATTGAAATTTTGTAAAACTTATGAAATCAAATCCAAAGAATTGGGTTTAGTGCATAAGTTGTTGTTTAAACAACGACAGAAGACACATTCGGGAGCTTTCTTTCAACTAATACCTTTGCATTTGGGTCAGGTGTGGTCTTTTGTGAGGGATAATGTAACGGAAGAAGAGGTTAGTGGTTTGGGAATATTAAGAGGATATATTTGCTTAATTTGTTTTGTTTCATTTCAGGAGCAATGCACCCAATTAAATGTTACTTTGAAATCCATAACCGAAACTACCGCCGAAAGCTGTCTGCAGTATCTTTACGAATCTTTGCGTAAACAAATCGAAGATGTAGAATATTTCATTACAAAAGCCAATAATTTAAGTTACAAATGTCGTATTGTAACTGAGGAAGATCGTGACTATTGTTTAGGCTGTCTAAAGTCTATGGAACGTTCAATATGCTCTCAACTGGTGCATATTTCTAATACCTTGAAAAACCTAACAAATGTTTGTTTGCCTTTGGGCTCTAGTATGGATGGTTTAATGAAGTTACTAATGCAGCATTTTATATGTTTGAAAAACTTAGCCAAACATTTTCTAACATGTTGTGCCGGCGGTGTAAAGGTGTCCATACAAGGAACCAAGTAAGTTTTAATACATATTAATATAAGAATACGGTCTTTATTTTAATTCTAATTACATTTAAAAAAGATTTGATTTATTGCTGAGAGTAGTGGGTAAACCTTTACCTTCCAACATTTATGCCTTGATTACTTATATTGAAAGTAACATTTTGGAAGAGTCCACAAAAAAGAAAATCAATCCCCAGGCTGAAAAAGCCAAAGTTTTAAGGGAAACAAAGTTTATACCCAAAATTATCTTATGCATAGAAAACTTTAATAAACATGTTATAATGTTGGCCAAAAAGACCAATGATCGTTTGGCTAATTTGCTGCACTATGGCACAGTAAGAGATTTTCGCATTAAGACCTCCGATTTAAAGGCAGCCATAGATCGTACTCTATCACACAGCAGTCAAATTGAAAACGATGAAACTCACGAAGATGAAAATGCACAAAACAGTGAGGAGGGAGAAAACGAAGAAGAAACTTTACTGCGGCAAATAGAAGAAGAGTCCAGGGAAATACAATCCACCTCTAAAGTATATGAACAAGAAGACGAGGCAGCAGAAAACACAAAAAACAATGAAACTGATAGTGATACTACCACTACTAGCAGAAGTTCAACACCGATTGCTACCACCTCTAAAGCAGCACAAAAGAAAACTCAGGAGAAGTCTAAACAGGCAAAAGAAACTAAACCCAAAAAAAGAAAACTAACTGATACCAGCGAAAAAGATGAAGAAGTCAAAAAACCCGAGGAAAAACCGAAAAAGAAAAAACTGGAAAAGGAAAAACCCTCCAAGAAATCTGCGAAAGTAAAAACTATTATCGAAATCGATTCGGATAATGAAAACGAAATCACTGTAATCACCGGTGAGGAAGCTGAAACTTTGGATAATGAAAGTAATCGTGAGTCTTGTACTCAACTAATGGAGAATTTAGCAAAAATTAATGCTAAAACTGCCAAGAAACGTACGTTGCGTGATTCTGAGCCACAAGATCCAGATGTTTTATGTGCTCCTCCTCTGGAGCCGTTGCCTAAGAAGAGTAAACGTGGTCGTCAAACTAAGGCAAGGAAATAAATGTTTTTTGTATGTGTACCTAACTATTTTTTTAAATTGCATTTTTAATTATGTTTTTGTGTTTCGTTCTCTTGAAGTGTGTTTAATAAATTGTTTTTTAAAAAAAGAAATGAATGGTTTACTGCTTTCGAATCTAGACTATAGACTACACTGAATACTAGACTATAGACTAGACTAAGACTTGACTAAATACTAGACTACAGGATAGACTAAAGACTAGACTAAATACTAGACTAAAGACTAGACTAAAGACTTGACTAAAGACTAGACTAAAGACTAGACTAAAGCCTAGACTGAACCTAGACTATTGATTAGACTAAAGACTAGACTTAAGACTAGACTAAAGACTACTTTAGACTAAAAACTAGACTCCAGACAAGGCTACAGACTAGACAATAGACTAGATTATAGACTAGACTAGAATAGACTATAGACTAGAATAGAATATACTATAGACTATGGACTAGACTATAGACTAGACTATATACTGGATTATAGACTAGACTATAGACTAGACTGTAGACTGGACAATAGATTAGACTATAGAGCATAGACTGAACTATAGATTAGACTATAGCCCATAGACTAGAATATACTATAGACTATGGACTAGACTATAGACTAGACTATATACTGGATTATAGACTAGACTATAGACTGGACTGTAGGCTAGACAATAGATTAGACTATAGCCTAGACTATAGACTAGACTATAGAGCATAGACTAGCCTATAGAGCTATAGACTGGGCTAAAGACTGGACTATAGACTAGACTGTAGACTAGGCTGGACTATAGAAAAGATTATAGACTAGACTATAGACCAGACTATAGACTATACTATAGACTATGCTATAGACTAGACTGTAGAGCATATACTAGACTACAGAGCATAGACTAGACCATAGACTACACTGTAGACTAGACTAGACTATAGACTACACTTTAGACTAGACTATAGACTAGACTATAGACTGGACTATAGACTAGACTGGACTATAGACTAGACTAGACTAGACTATAGACTGGACTATAGACTAGACTGTAGACTAGACTATAGACTAGACTATAGACTAGGCTATAGACTAGACTATAGACTAGACTATAGACTAGACTATAGACTAGACTATAGACTAGACTATAGACTAGACTATAGACTAGACTATAGACTAGACTATAGATTAGACTATAGACTAGACTATAGACTAGACTACAGAGCATAGACTAGACTACAGAGCATAGAATAGACTATAGAGCATAGACTAGACCATAGACTAGATTATAGACTAGACTATAGACTAGACTATAGACTAGACTATAGACTAGACTAGACTATAGACTAGACTATAGACTAGACTATAGACTAGACTATACTCTAGACTATAGACTAGACTATAGACTAGACTAGACTAGACTATAGACTAGACTATAGACTAGACTATAGACTAGACTATAGACTAGACTATAGACTAGACTATAGACTAGACTATAGACTAGACTAGACTATAGACTAGACTATAGACTAGACTATAGACTAGACTATACTCTAGACTATAGACTAGACTATAGACTAGACTATAGACTGGACTATAGACTAGACTGGACTATAGACTAGACTAGACTAGACTATAGACTGGACTATAGACTAGACTATAGACTAGGCTATAGACTAGACTATAGACTAGACTATAGACTAGACTATAGACTAGACTATAGACTAGACTATAGACTAGACTATAGACTAGACTATAGATTAGACTACAGAGCATAGACTAGACTACAGAGCATAGAATAGACTATAGAGCATAGACTAGACCATAGACTAGATTATAGACTAGACTATAGACTAGACTATAGACTAGACTATAGACTAGACTAGACTATAGACTAGACTATAGACTAGACTATAGACTAGACTATACTCTAGACTATAGACTAGACTATAGACTAGACTAGACTATAGACTAGACTATAGACTAGACTATAGACTGGACTATAGACTAGACTGGACTATAGACTAGACTAGACTAGACTATAGACTGGACTATAGACTAGACTATAGACTAGGCTATAGACTAGACTATAGACTAGACTATAGACTAGACTATAGACTAGACTATAGACTAGACTATAGACTAGACTATAGACTAGACTATAGACTAGACTATAGATTAGACTATAGACTAGACTATAGACTAGACTACAGAGCATAGACTAGACTACAGAGCATAGAATAGACTATAGAGCATAGACTAGACCATAGACTAGATTATAGACTAGACTATAGACTAGACTATAGACTAGACTATAGACTAGACTAGACTATAGACTAGACTATAGACTAGACTATAGACTAGACTATACTCTAGACTATAGACTAGACTATAGACTAGACTAGACTATAGACTAGACTATAGACTAGACTATAGACTAGACTATAGACTAGACTATAGACTAGACTATAGACTAGACTATAGACTAGACTATAGACTAGACTATAGACTAGACTATAGACTAGACTATAGACTAGACTATAGACTAGACTATATACTAGACTATAGACTAGACTATAGACTAGACTATAGATTAGACTATAGATTAGACTATAGATTAGACTATAGACTAGACTATAGAGCATAGACTAGACTACAGAGCATAGACTAGACTACAGAGCATAGAGTAGACTATAGAGCACAGACTAGACCATAGACTAGACTGTAGACTAGATTATAGACTAGACTGTAGACTAGACTATAGACTAGACTATAGACAAGACTGTAGACTAGACTATAGACTAGACTATAGACTAGACTATAGACTAGACTATAGACTAGACTATAATCTAGTCTATAGACTAGACTATAGACTAGACTATAGACTAGACTATAGACTAGACTATAGACTAGACTATAGACTAGACTATAGACTACACTATAGACTACACTACAGACTACACTACAGACTACACTACAGTCTACACTATAGACTATACTATAGACTAGACTATAGACTATAGACTAGACTGTAGACTAGACTATATACTAGACTATAGACTAGACTATATACTAGACTATAGACAAGACTGTAGACTAGACTATAGACCAGACTACACACCAGACTGTAGACCAGACTACAGACCAGACTATAGACTATGGACTAGACTATGGACTAGACTATAGACTAGACTATAGACTAGACTAGAGACTAGACTAGAGACTAGACTACAGACTATAGACTAGACTGTAGACTAGACTATAGACTAGACTATATACTAGACTATAGACTAGACTATATACTAGACTATAGACTGATATAGACAGATATAGACTGATCTATAGTCTACTCTATAAACTAAATCGTTAAAATGCTTAATAGAAGTATTTTCCATATTTTCCCTTAAAACTTAAACCAAATAACTAAAAACGATAAAATTTAAACTTGTTCCTAAATGTAAAATCTTCAATTGTTATAGCGCATCATCATAACATTACATCATCGTCTTCATTATCTACATACATACATCTCTATTTTTCGACAAAAAGTAAAAGTTATAGAATACACCTGATACGTGTTCGCTTGCAAGCAAATGTCTAACAAATCATTTATCAACCACCAACATACATATCTTCATGATTTAACACAAAATACTGCTTTCCTCAAAAACACGAAAAAGTTTCATATTCTCCGAGTAACGTTTAAATTTTATTGCTCTAAAATCTAATTAGAAAAGTATCATCATCTAATGTAGCAATTTTCTTGATTTGATGTGAGTTTTTCTTTAATTTTTTTTGTCGGACAACCAAGAGTTTTTATGAGTTTTCTAAAGGTGGAACAAACTAAATAGGGCCTAAAAGTCAAAGGGCCCGAATATAGTCGAGACCTTCGAGTAGACTATAGTCTGGACTGGACTGTATTCCAGATTATAGACATGACAACAGTTGATTATGGACATGACTTTAGACGAGGGAAGACTTGTTCAGTTTTAGCTCAGTTCTAGTTCATTTTTAGTTCAGTTCTAGATCACTTCTAGTTCAGTTCTACTTCGCTTCTAGTTCAGTTCTAGTTCAGTTCTAATTCAGTTCTAGTTCAGTTCTAGTTCTGTTCTAATTCGGTTCTAGTTCAGTTCTACTTTAGATCTAGTTCAGTTCTAGTTTAGTTCTAGTTCTGTTCTAGTTCAGTTCTAGTTCAGTTCTAGTTCAGTTCTAGTTCAGTTCTAGTTCAGTTCTAGTTCAGTTCTAGTTCAGTTCTAGTTCAGTTCTAGTTCAGTTCTAATTCAGTTCTAGTTCAGTTCTAGTTCTGTTCTAATTCGGTTCTAGTTCAGTTCTACTTTAGCTCTAGTTCAGTTCTAGTTTAGTTCTAGTTCTGTTCTAGTTCTGTTCTAGTTCAGTTCTAGTTCAGTTCTAGTTCAGTTCTAATACAGTTCTAGTTCAGTTCTAATTCGGTTTTGGTTCAGTTCCAGTTCAGTTCTAGTTTAGCTCCAGTTCAGTTCTAGTTTAGTTCTATTTCTGTTCTAGTTCAGTTCTAGTTCAGTTCTAGTTCAGTTCTAGTTCAGTTCTAGTTCAGTTCTAGTTCAGTTCTAGTTCAGTTCTAGTTCAGTTCTAGTTCAGTTCTAGTTCAGTTCTAGTTCAGTTCTAGTTCAGTTCTAGTTCAGTTCTAGTTCAGTTCTAGTTCAGTTCTAGTTCAGTTCTAGTTCAGTTCTAGTTCAGTTCTAGTTCAGTTCTAGTTCAGTTCTAGTTCAGTTCTAGTTCAGTTCTAGTTCAGTTCTAGTTCAGTTCTAGTTCAGTTCTAGTTCAGTTCTAGTTCAGTTCTAGTTCAGTTCTAGTTAGTTCAGTTCTAGTTCAGTTTTAGTTCAGTTCTAGTTCAGTTCTAGTTCACTTCTAGTTCAGTTCTAGTTTAGTTCTAGTTCAGTTCTAGTTCAGTTCTAGTTCAGTTCTAGTTCAGTTCTAATTCAGTTCTAGTTCAGTTCTAGTTCAGTTCTAGTTCAGTTCTAGTTCAGTTCTAGTTCAGTTCTAGTTCAGTTCTGGTTCTAGTTCAGTTCTAGTTCAGTTCTAGTTCAGTTCTGGTTCTAGTTCAGTTCTAGTTCAGTTCTAGTTCA